GCACCACTGTGCCTTACTTAATTTATGGGTCTATGTTTGTAAATCTTTTTCTTCTTTTTGGTAGTATGAATTGAACCCATGGATGCTTTACTCCTGAGCCATATCTCCAGACATTTTTATTCTTTTGAGACAGGGTCTCCTTAAATTTCTGTGTCTTGCTAAATTGCCTGGGCTGGTCTTGACTATGTGATCCTCCTGCCTCAGCCTCCTGAGTCATTGGGATTACAGACATGTGCAAACATGCCCAATTGTTTGTATGTCTATTCCGAACATATCTCTTCTATTCCAGGTTTAGAAACATGATCTCATATTTGTTCCATTATTTTTATAGTTTTTTTTTTTTTTTTGTGTGTGTGTGTGTGAGAGAGAGAGAGAGAGAGAGAGAAAGAGAGAGGGAGAGAGGGAGGGGAATGTAACTATTGATTAGCTGGAGATAGTGGGCAACTTTCTTAGTATTGCCAACTCTTAGTTTTCTTATCCATTAAGTAGGGATAATATTTTGTTCTTCATATGTTTGAATAGGCCATTAAATGTTTGACCTATTTATTTTTTTCTTGTTATTTTATTTTATTTTTTTTAATTTTTATTTTTTATTAGTTGCTTGAGACAATACAATGATCTTTGTTTGACCTATTTAGAGGGTAACAATTGCTTTGTTATTATAAATATTTTTTGCAGTACTTGAACTTTGGGGTGAACTACATCCCCAGTCCTGTTTAATTTTATTTCAATTCTGGGTCACACTAAATTGCCCGTGCTGGCCTCAAACTTGTGATCCCCTCCTTCCTCAGCCTCCTGAATCACTAGGATTACAGGTGTATGCCACTGTACCTGGCTTCCAGTGCTGGAGATTAAGCCCAGGGCCTCTTGTATGCTAGGCAAGTGCTCTAGCACTGATGTCCACCCCCACTCTATTATGTTATTAACTGTGTGTTATGGCATTTGACATTTTACCTTAATCCTTTGTGTATCTGGCTCTTTCATTAAGCCTGTCTTCAGTGATAGGAAACATGGTTTCCTCCAGTGCCTATCCAGGTGCTTGGCATTTAGCAAGTGTTTAAATGTTTGTTTAATGAATGGATTTGTTGGTTGAATGGATGAACAACACAGAATAAAAACCAAGTACAAGCTGGGCATCGTGGTACATGCCTGTAATCCCAGTGGTTTGTGGGGCTGAGGCAGGAGGATTGAGAATTCAAAGCCAACCCCAGCAATGGTGAGGTGCTAAGCAACTCAGTGAGACCCTATCTCTAAATAAAATACAAAATAGGGCTGGGGATGTAGCTCAGAGGTTGAGTGCCTCTGAGTTCAATCCCTGATAACAACAACAAAAAAAAGTACAAAAGGGAAAATGAATAAATATTAATGAATAGTTTTATTAAGCAGTTTTTATATGAAATTAAACACAAAACTAAAGTAAAACTAGAGCAGAGAAAAAACTTAGATATAACTATTTAATACCTACATTGGGTTCTTGTTCAAGTATGGGCTCCAAAAGGACTGAGGTTCTACTTATTGAAACAGTAGAAGTTTAAGTGAGCAGGCATTTTTCTTCGGAGAGTCTATAGTCAGATTATAGTTCCAGGAGGCCAGGGATCAGAAATACTTTGCCCACCAATGTATTCCTAGCTTGCAGCATAGAACCTGGTGGCCAAGAGATGTTTATGACTGGATGAAATGCTTTCATCAGATCTTCAAGTTTTTTTTTTTTTTTGGGGGGGGGGGCGGGAGGCTGGTACTAGGGATTGAACTCAAAGGCACACAGCCACTGAGCCACATACCCAGCCCTATTTTGTATTCTATTTAGAGACAGGGTCTGAGTGAGTGCTTCACCATTGCTGAGGCTGGCTTTGAACTTGTGATCTCCTGCCTCAGCCTACAGAGCCACTGGGATTACAGGTGTGTGCCATCACGCCCAGTTCAAGGCTTTTAAAAATCATTTATTTATTTATATGCGGTGCTAAGAATCAAACCCAGTGCCTCACACATGCTAGGCAAGAGCCCTACCACTGAGCCACAATCCCAGCCCCTCAAAGGGTTTTTTAACCCTTCAAATAACCTAGAAGGAAAAAAACAAAAACAAAAAACAGATCTCTGGGAAAAGCTTTATGCAGGCCAGAGCTCTGGGAGGAATTTATCAACATGGAATGATCAAGAAACCCTCCCTCCATCTCCTTTAAGGGACTAAGTGATTCTCTATTGGCTTTCTGATTCTCACAGGTTAGGCTGTGCCAAGCTTGATTCATAAACCGACTTCTGTCACCTACCATCTGTGTGACCTTCATTAAATTATTTAGGCTAGAGAGCAGGTTTCCATAGTAACATCCACCTTAAAGGCCTGTAGGGTGGATTTCTTCAAAAGGGGTGATATAGTGTTGGAGTGTTAAGGTGTACAACTAACGTTATGTCTTCTGTTCCCCCTGCCGCACGTGCTTTGTAAAATATCTGTTCACAGGGAGTGCCATGGGGCACACCTGTAATTCCAGTGACTCCAGAGGCTGAGGCAGGAGTTAACATGTTGGAGGTCAGCCTGAGCAACTTAGCAAGAACCTAAGCCACTTAATGAGATTCTGTTTCATAATAAACATAAAAGCCCGGTGGTGGGCTCTCCTGTAGTCCAAGTGGCTCTGGAGTCTGAGGCAGAAGGATCATAGGTTCAAAGCCAGCCTCAGCAACAGTGAGGTGCTAAGCAACTTGGTGAGACCCTGTCTCTAAATAAAATACAAAATAGGGCTGGGGATGTGGTTTAGTAATTGAGTGCCTCTGAGTTCAATCCTTAGTACCTTAAAAAAATAAATAAGGCTAGGAATGTAACTCAGTGGTAAACTGCCCCTGGGTTCAATCTCCAGTATCAAAACAAACATACAGAAACCCTTTGTTCACGGCAGTAGATGAGAATTCTCTGGACTCAAGGCCATTCCTTTTTCTAATCAGTTTGCCTCTACTAGTCCACAGAATTACTTAGTTTAGCAACATAAAAAATATCAATTATGATCATTTACAAGAACTCTGTCCAAGTATGCATAATGACTTCACAATACAAGAATAATGAGGGAAATTCACATTTGTTGCTCTCCTGTGGTGTATCAGTACTACGCTGGGCACTTTGATGCCTATCTTACCCTGCAAATTAGACTTCTCAGTATATAAAAGAATTGACAAAGATCTCGCCAGATGGATATTAATTTTATAACTGGATCATAGCAGGCATTTTAAAAACTGTTAACTGAATAAACTGTTTGGGGTTTTAAACTAAATTTCAAAAATGGTTAAGCATGGGCAGATGTGCTCCCAGCTTTATAATGAGACTAGAATTTGGAAAATTCTCTGGGGGAACCTCCCTGTTCATCTCCAGCATGTTTTTCTATTTTTTATTTTGAGACAGGGTCTTGCTAAGTTACTTAGGGACTCACTAACTTGCTGAGGCTGGCTTTGAACTTGAGATCCTCCTGCCTCAGCCTCCAGAACCACTGGGATTAGACCAAATGGTCTGCCACCTCACCCAGTGAACCAGAATCTTGTGGGAAAGAAATTGGTATTAGGAAACTAGGGCTGAAGTTCTGGTTGAGGCTTAACTGGATTGAGCGACTTGGGGCAAGTCTCTTATCCTCTCTGGGCCTTAGCTTAGCATATGAAAAACAAAGGAGGGGGTTATTATTGAGCTTGTTCAGTTATTGAATATTTCCCAAACTTATATTCTAAGGTTCCCTATCAGTCATGTTTATTTTTCCTTTGAGATAAAAATACTTCATGTGCTTGGAACTTCAATGAAGTCAATCAATGACATTTATAAAGCACCTATTATATACTTTCTAGGAGCCTCCAGCCTGGAGCAACAATTGGAGACTGTCTAAAAATTAAAACAAACAAATAAATAAATGGAGCTGAAGATATAATTCTGTATGGGACTGCCCCTGGACTCAATCCTCAGTAAAGCCAAAAAAAAAAAAAAAAAAAAAAGACTTTTTGCCACTCAATGATTATGGTACCCTTGGCAAAAATCATTTGACCATCTATGCAAAGGTTTTTGCGCCATAAAACTTTTGCAGAAACCATGTGGTGTCTGCCTTAAGAAAGCTATGGTTAAGATTGGTTAAATGCTCAGATTCCTTTTCAAACGGTGTTTGTCCTCTGGCTGTGTGCTCAGTGGGCACTGGGCACATGTTTTTCCACGCTTTGCCTTTTAAGCTTTCCATGGAACCACTGTGACAAGCTGTCCATCCCCAAAGGGGCATGGACAGAGTCAGGACATGAACCCAGAGTTCCTGGCTCCATGTGTCATGCTATTTCAGGTCTGAGAGTCTCATCTCTAAAATGTGCTCAGAAGTGAAACGAGAAGGTCGCTACCGTGCAGCCTGGCGGCTCCAGGCTCCTAGGCACTTAGGAGTCACTAAAAGCCAGCGGCTATACTTAAGGTGTAGACATTAAGAATTTCGAAGGTGCTAGAGCAGCGGATCTCTAACTCTCCCAGTCCGGAAGGCCGAGTTCTGAAGCGGGAGCCCCACCCCACCGGGCGGACCTCAAGTCCTTCCCCGGAACCTGGGCGCGGCTGGCCCGTTCTATTGGCGCGGGTGGAGGACGAACAACAGAAAAATGCCTGCGACGAGATTTGCGCGGAAACTCTCCAGGGTCTTTCGGGAGAGGGGCCCGGGAGTTCTGCAATGGCTCTACCAGTAGTTCCCTCGCCTCTCTGGCGTTTCATCGTCTCCAGCGGAGTTGTCCCCGCCCCTTGGTCCCTCGGTTAAGTTTCCTTTTGGTACGCCCCCACCCTGACTTGGGCGAGACGGGCCACTGCGCATGCGAGCCCCGCTGCGGGGGCGGGATGGGCGGGGGGTGGGGGGGGAGAGGGAAGCGCGGAGCCGACCCCGCCCCTTCGCGGCTCCACGCGTGACGTCGCGGGGGCGCTGGCCTCCGCCCGGCTCCGAGCGGTGAGAGCTAGCGGCGGGCCGACCCGACACCGCCAGATCCGGAAGGGATGCGGGTGTCGAGATTCTTCCTAAGGGGGCTTTGGGGAGGAGGGGAGGCCCAGGTGCCCCACCAGCCGCTGACCCCAAGGCTCTGCCCTCCCCCCTCCTGTTTTTCCCTTTCCAGAAATGCCTGGACGGGTTGCTGGGCAGGAGCTGAGCATTGGTGACACCTGCGTTTCCGTGGCTCCCTCCTTCTTCCTCCACCCCATACATTTAACTCCTCGACTTCCAGATGTTCTTTCCCATCGGGCTGTCGCTTCTTGTGCGGAACAGAGTACTTTACTTGGAAGCAGGAGACAGGAGACCAGTTGCAGACGCTGGCCCTACCACTTCTATGTTAAAGTCCTAGAGCTTCAGTTTCTTCCACAATATTCTAGCCTTGTCTCATCTGGTTTTTGAAGATCAGTATGGCAGAGAAAGGAAACAGACATCTGTTGAGTACCTGCGTGGCGAAGTAAAAGCAGATAACCTTTTTATGATTTGGTGTTCTTAAAACTCCGATTAAGTTCACAGAGATTAACTGACTTGGTTTCACATGGCTAATGAGTAGCAGAGCTACCAGACCAAGTAGCTCCAAAGGTGGGACCTTCTAGTGAAATACTCTGGCTGGAGCTGTTCTTTCACCAAACACTATCCCAGAACAGTGGCTTCCCCTTTCTCTGGCTGAGAATTCTTCCTTTCATTCTCCTTTTTCCAGCATAGAATGCTCTGCTCTGCCTTGATTGTTTCAAAAGTGAAATGCAGCAAATATTTATTAAGTGATACAGAGAGATGAATTTTTGGAGTCAAGACCCTTGGATTCTTGTCTGGGTCCTGTCACTTATTGGCTGTGTGGTTTTGGGCAAGTGCCTTGTCTTGTCTGAGCTTTAGCTTCCCTTTGCATAAAATGGGTGGTGCCTCCTGACCAGTGGGCTCTTGTCTAGTTCTCCCTCATTGTCCTCCGCAGGCTCTCCGCAGAGGTCCATACCCCTCTGCTCCCCATGGGCAGCTGCCAGGCAGGGCACAACTTGCATCTCTTTCTGGTCCACCACCCACCTCTGGTTTGTGCCACTTTGATCCTGCTGCTTCTTGGCCTCTCGGGCTTGGGCCTTGGTGGCTACCTCCTTACCCACAGGACTGGCCTGCGCAGCCCTGACATCCCTCAGGTGAGTATCCTCCGGCTCACCCTTCCCCTGTAGACCTGCTCCTGCTACTGATCTCATCTCTCTCCCATCCTCCTTTTGAACACAGGACTGGGTTTCCTTTTTGAGATCTTTTGGACAGATGACCCTGTGCCCCATGAATGGGACAGTCACAGGGAAGTGGCCAGGGTCTCACGTCGTGGGCTTACTGACCACCTTGAACTTCGGAGATGGTCCAGACAGGAACAACAAGACCCAGACATTCCAAGCAAAGATTCCGGGTAGTCAGATAGGATTGAAAGGTGAGATTGGGAAGGATTGGGAGCCCAGCATTGGAAGAACACTGAGGGCCAGGCCCTGCCTCTGACCTCACCAACCTGGTGACCTTGGGAACTTATGTGTACCTTAGTCACTTCTACTAAAATAAGAACTCGATACTGGGGCCAGGGTTGTGGCTCAGTGGTAGAGCGCTTGCCTAGCATGTGTGAGACACTAGGTTCGATCTCTGGCACCACATAAAAAATAAATAAGTAAATAAACAAATAAAATAAAGGTATTGTGTCCATCTACAACTAAAAACAGAAGAAAAATTTAAAAAAAGAACTCAATACTTATAGTGAACATGCTGTCTACAGTGTAAGTTCTCTCTCTCTCTCTCTCTCTCTCTCTTTTTGGTACAGGGGATTGGACCAAGGGGCCTTAACTACTGAGCCATATCCCCAGACCTTTTTTGAATTTTATTTAGAGACAGAGTGTCACTGAGTTGCTTAGGGCCTTGCTAAGTTGCTGAGGCCGGTCTTGAACTTTCAATCCTCCTGCCTCAGCCTCCCAAGCTGCTGGGATTACAGGCATGCACCACCATATCTGACTTACAGTGTGGTTTCTCTGTTTTGTCTTTCTATTTCCAGTTCTGCAGTTCTTTGATTCCATCTTGGAATTGTGATAATATGGGCTAGGTTTGACTCAAATGTTTTTTCTCATCTTATAATCATCTCTTCTTAGAGGCACCATTTTCCCTCAGGGATATCAGAGACTATGTTCTGTTCAATTAAACTAGTATCTTAAGTGCCTATTGTATGCTTAGCATAACTCTTTGTGCAGAACAATATTAGACACCATTATTTACCAAACAGCTTATAATCTTCGGGGAAAATGATGAGATGTATGGTCTAGTAGGTGCCATTAATTTCTGGGTGACATCTGATCTCAGTTTTCTTATCTAAAAAATGGGGAGATAAAGCTGGATACGGTGGCACATGCCTATAATCCCAGCAACTCAGGAGGCTGAGGCAGGAGGATTGCAAGTTTGAGGCCAGTCTCATCAACTTAATGAGGCTCTAAACAACTTAGCAAGACTCTGTCTCAAAATAAAAACTAAAAGGTTGGGGATGTGGCTTAGTGGTTTAAGCACCCCTGGGTTCAATCCCTAGTACCAAAAAGAGAGAGAGACACAGAGGAGAGAAGGGTAAAATTTTCAGATTTATTTATTTATTTATTTATTTAAATATTTATTTATTTATTTTAGTTCTCAGCGGACACAACATCTTTGTTTGTATGTGGTGCTGAGGATCGAACCCGGGCCGCACGCATGCCAGGCGAGCGTGCTACCGCTTGAGCCACATCCCCAGCCCAAATTTTCAGATTTAATACTCTCATTCTAAGATTCTCCTATGAGTCACATGTGTCTGTGTATGTTCAAGTGTACACGTATGTGAACAAAGAATAAGAATAAGATCTGGTTTGTGCCTATCAGAATGGAGAGGAACAGCCCTGGAGGAGACTGGAGAGAGGTGATGGTGGGCGGAGGGAGCTGGCAGGGATAAAGTCCAGGAGAGTTAGTGGAGATGGGGGTTGGAAACAAATTGCTCAAAAGCCAGGGTTTTCTCCACTCCAGCTTTTATGTCTTTTGCAGCCATCCCCAAAGATATTGGTGAAGCTGCTTGTCCACATTCCCATTCCCAGCAGGGAGCCCGCTTCCTGAGGGAGCTCCCTTCCTGAGGACCACTGGAGGGTTTTAGTGATGATGAATAGCACATTTTTTACCTGTGTCATTGAAAATAGACCCATAGTGCTGCAGCTTCTGCAGGCCTTTCCTTCCCTGATCTCCATGAGCCTAGGGAGTCCTCTTCCTCTTTGTCATGTGTTTGGAGCTTTGGAGAAAAAATAGAATAGGCTCATTAATGGGTCCTTGGGATCTCATTGAATAAATGTTGGGGGTAGGGAATGGGCTGAATAGAATTTGCAGATTAGAGGCTGGTAGATGTGTTGGTGTGTGTGTGTGTGTGTATGTGTGTGTTAATTATGTTAATTTTCATAATTTAAAAATAAGGAGGTTTCACAAAAGAATCCACATTGCCAGTTCTCCCTCCCTCCCTCCCTCTCTCTCTCTCTCTCTCTCTCTCTCTCTCTGGTATTAGGAATTAAGCCCAGGGATTCTTTACCACTGAGCTATATCCCCAGCTCATTTCATTTTTTTATTTTGAGACAAGGCCTTGCTAAACTCCTGAGGCTGGCCTTTACCTCAGTCTCCCAGGTAGCTGGGATATAGGTGTGCACACCTGACCATTTCCAGCTTCTCTAACAAAACCCACAAAAGGCTACATGGTGGCCTTTTGCTGTTTTGTAATTGGCTGTTGAGGCTGGAAATGCTAGTGACAGATTGAGATGGGGTGAAGTGGTAGGTTGTTGAGGGGAGCGAGAAAAAAAAAGAACAAGAAGAATAAGGAATGTATCAGATATTTACAGACTTGGGGCAGTTTTTCCTATTCTGCCTTTTTTTCTGTGTATACTGGGGATTGAACACCAGGGTGCTCTACCATTGAGCTGCATCCTCAGCCCTTTTTATTTCAGATTTTGAGACAGGGTCTCACTAAGTGAAACCAGGCTAGCCTCAAACTTGGGAATCTTCTGCGTCAGCTCCCACAAGTCGCTGGTATTATAAGTGTGTGCCACCAAGCCTGGCAATTCTTTCTACTTTAAAACAAACAAACAAACAAAAAAACAAAAAAAAACATTTAACTGCATTATTTATTTATTTATTTTTTAGTTGTAGTTGGACACAATACCTTTATTTCACTTATTTCTTTTTATGTGGTGCTGAGGATCGAACCCAGGGTCTCGCACGTGCGAGGCAAGTGCTCTACCCCTGAGCCACAACCTCAGCCCTTAACTGCATTATTGAGATTTGATTCACATACCATATAATTCACCTACTTAAAGTATACATTTAAATGACTTTGAATATATTCACACTAGTGTGTGATTATCACAATTCATTTTAGAACATTTTCATCAACCAGAGACTGTTCACCCATTAACAGTCATTCTCCTTCTCTCCCCCCACCCCAATCGCCCAGCCCTGAGCAACCACTAATCTACTTTCTGTCTCTGTAGATTTGCCTATTCTGGACACTTAATATGATATGTGGTCTTTTGTGACTGGCTTCTTTCACTTAGAATAAAGTTTTTAAAGTTCAGCCATTTTATAGCATGTATCAGTATTTCATTTCTTTTTATGCTGAACAACATTGAATGAATATACCACATTTTCATTTATGTGTTCATCATTTCTGTGTTCAACATTTGGGTTGTTTGTAGGTTTTGGTTAATATAAATGATGTTGCTATGAACACTGTAGGTTTTTGTGTGGACATGTTCTCATTTCTCTTGAAATAAACATGAGTTGGGCGTGGTGGTGACTTGGGCATGACTTGGGAGACTAAAGCAGTAGGATTGCAGGTTTGAAGCCAGCCTCAGCAAATTATTGAGACTCTGTCTCACAAAGAATTGGGGATGTAGCTTAGTAGTAAAGCACCCTTGGCTTCAATCCCTAGTATTTACCTGCATGTGTGTGTGTGTGTGTGTGTGTGTGTACTTACAAGTAGAACATAAGATAATGCTATGGTTAATCTTTTGAGGAACTTCCCAACTGTTTTCCACACAGCTATAGCATTTTATATTTTCACCAGTATGAGATTTCCATTTTCTCTACAACCTCACCACTACTTAGTTATTATCTGTCTTTCTTATTATAGTTGTCCTAACCAGTGTGATTCTGATTTGCATTTTCCTGATGAATTAACAAGATTGATAATGATATTTCATATGCTTTTGGCCATTTATATGTATATTTGAAGAAACATATATTCAGAGTCTTTAACTGTATTTTAAATTATGCGATTTGTCTTAATTATTCAGGTATAAGAGTTCTTTGTGTTTTCAGTGCCACTGCACCTAGTACCCTGTATTTTCTTCTATAGTTTTAATTTTTGCGTTTAGGTCTATGATCCATCTTTAGTTCATTTTATGTATGAGGCTCAACTTCATTCTTTTTGCATGTGTCTATCTTTAATTGTATAACATCATTTTTTGGAAAGATTGTTCTTTTCCCCCACTGAATGGTCTTGGCACCATATTGAAAAATCAGTTGGCCCACTGTGGTGGTGCAGGCCTGTAATCCCAGCAATTTGGGAAGCTGACGCAGGAGGATTCCAAGTTCAAGGCCAGCCTCAGCAATTTGGCAAGACCCTGTCTCAAAATTAAAAATAAAATAAAATAAAAGGACTTGGGAACTAGCTTATTGGTAAAGTGCCCCTGGGTCCAATCCCCAGAACCAAGAAAAAGAAAACTAAAAGAAAATAAATTGACCAATTGACCATGGATACATTGTTTATTTTGAGATTCTGTTGTATTCCACTGATCTATATGTCTATCCTTATGCTAGTGCCACACTGTTTTGATTTCTGTAGCTTCATAGTAAGTTTTGAAGTCAGGAAATGTGAGTCCTACAACTCAGTTCTTCTTTTTCAAGATTGTCTTAGCTATTCCAGATCCCCTGAGTTTTCATTCACATGAATTTTAGGAATAGCTTGTTAATTTCTGTTTCTGCAAGAAGCCCTATTCTTTTTTTTAATACCTTTATTTTATTTACTTATTTTTATGTGGTGCTGCAGATCAAACCTAGGGCCTTACACATACTAGGCAAATGCTCTACCACTGAGCTACAAACCCAGCCCTGCCCTATTCTTTTAATAATGGTTAGAAACAAAGATTTTTACGGGGTAGGAGGAATCATCTGTGATTGTATCAACCATGTAACAATTATTGAGCACTTACTAATATCAGACATGGGAAATACAGAGATCTGTAATACATGGGTCCTCCCCTAAAGTTGCTTACAGTCTTGCAAGGATAAAGATTCGAATAGAAATAAATACCTTTCAGTATGTGAGGTAGAACATAAGGTACAGTGGGAGTACTGAGGGGCCCATGGAGCAGGGATAGCAAAAAAGGACTTTCCCAAGGATACAGTGCCTAGGCTAAAGCCTGAGGAATGCTTAGTCACATACAGTTCAGCCAGAGGAAATGGCAAACATAAGGACAGCATGACATGTTTAGGAACTTCCAGAGGTTCAGTTTGGCTGGTATATACAGGAGAAGGAATGTTGAATGAGTAGTGGGAGATGGGTCTGAAGACAGAGGCAAGATCCCGTGGAGGATCTTGTGTGCAACCCAAGGTAATGGGGCTTTATCCAGCACATTGGGCATACTTAAAGATTTTGACCAGGAAAGCAGTAGAACTTTATTGTTTTGTTTTTTTTTTTTAAAAGATCACACTCTGTTAGCTGACAGGAAGACCGGTTAGGAAGTGACTGCAATAAAGCAGTGATGAGAAAAGCTGAGCTAAGCCAGAGGTGTGAGTTGAGAGAGACATTAGAAATCTGGGATTGGTAAGACTTGGTGACTGATTCCATCGGGGTGATGTAAAGAAAGGGGAAAAGTTTTTTACCAAATTTTATACATATATTTTTCAGTGGTAATTATGGTGTCTATACTGATTTGTGTTTGTCTTTTTTCACTTACATGTAAGTGGTTTTTCATAATACTACATGATCTTCAACATTGTGATAATGACTATAAATTGATCCATTAAATGATCAGGCCCGCATTTGTTAATGCTTTCCTTAGTAAACATCTATTGTTTCCTAATTCTTGATAAAATCACAATAAATATTTTGATATGCTTTGCATTTTTGTTTTAATCCTTTCCTTTGCATTTCCATAAGTAGAATTACATAGTCAAAGAATATGCCTCCCTTGCTTTTTTTTTTTTTTTGGTAGTGGGGATTGAACCCAGGGGCACTTAAACTCTGAGGCAGCCCTTCTTTATATATTTTATTTAGAGAAAGGATCTCTCTAAATTGCTAGGGCCTCACTAAGTTGCTGAGGCTGGCTTTGAATTTGTGCTCCTCCTGCCTCAGCCCTGCAAGCTGCTGAGATTACAGGTGGATGTGGTGCTGCCTTTTTTGGGGGGCGAGGGCGGTATAGGGATTAAACCCAGGGACACTAGACCACTGAGCCACATCCCCAGCCCTATATTGGATTTTATTTAGAGACAGGGTCTCACTGAGTTGCTTAGCGCCTCACTTGTGCTGAGGCTGCCTTTGAACTCACGATCCTCCTGTTTCAGCCTCCTGAGCCAGATGTGCTGGCTTTTTAAAAAGATTTTTTAGATGAACACAATATTTTTATTTATTAATTTATTTGTTTTTATGTGGTGCTGAGGATCAAACCCAGTGCCTCATACATTCAAAGGAAATACACTACCACTGAGCTACAACCCCAGCCCCATGCTGGCTTTTTTTTTTTTAGAGAGAGAGAGAATTTTAATATTTATTTTTTAGTTTTCGGCGGACACAACATCTTTGTTTGTATGTGGTGCTGAGGATCGAACGCGGGCTGCCCACATGCCAGGCGACCACGCTACCGCTTGAGCCACATCCCCAGCCTTCTGTGCTGGCTTTTTTAAAACTCATTTTGTTGTGGGATGAGCACATACAGAAGTCTAGAAAACAAATGTAAAAGTGGTCCGCACTTGATGGACATATTCTGAGCCCACTTAAATTGCCATAGACACAGATAAATAATAATTTAGACAGTGCCTACCTCCTCACATCTTCAAAAATTCCTGTATTCATCTTTTTAATTTTTACTAATTTAATAGGTAAAGGAATTACCTGATTCTTTTAATTTATTTTCTCCTAATTGCTAGTGAGGTTGAGTTTCTTCTAATGGGTTTATTGGACATTTTCAGGTCATTGGTTTACCTGTTTGTATTCTTTGCTCATTTTTCTTTTTTTTTTTTGTATCATATTTTCTGTTTCATTTTTTTAAAAAAATAATTATTTTTTAGTTTTAGGTGGATACAATACCTTTATTTTACATTTATGTGGTGCTAAGGATCAAACCCAGTGCCTCGTGCATGCTAGGTGAGCACTCTACCACTGAGCCACAACCCCAGCCGGCCCCCCATTTCATTTTTTGAGGAACTACCATACATTTTTCCACAGTGGCTATACCATTTTACATTCCCCTCATTTTTTTTTTGTCTTTTTTTCTTGATGTGTACATCTTTATTCTATTAGATTCTAAACTTTTCTGTTAATTAAGTGCATTATAGGTGTTTTCAGGCAATCTGTTAACTTGATTTTTTTGTTTTTAATTTATCTTTTGTTGTATGGAAGTCCTTAACCCTTATGAAGATGGGTATATTGTTCTTGTCCTTTACGAAAGATTTTAGATTTTCTGTCCTTTGTTGGAAGGTCTTCCTTAAAATTAGGAAATAGTCTGTATTTTCTTTTAATAATTGCTTAAAATTTATTTTTAGTTTTGTATGATTATTTAATATATCTGCATTTATTTTATAGTGCGAGATAACAATCTATGTTCTTTTCAACATGGAAATTTTCCCCAAACCATTTACTTAATAGGCTATCCTTTCCCCGCTAATTTAAAATAGAGTAGGGGCTGGGGCTGGGGCTGGGGCTGAGTGGCAGAGTGCTTGCCTAGCATGTATGAGGCACTGGGTTCGATCCTCAGCACCACATACGAATAAACAAATAAAATAAAGGCATTCTGTCCATCTACAACTGAAAAAAAAAAGATTAAATAAAATAGAGTATAAACTTTTTTTAAATCTTTATTTATTTATTGTTATGTGGTGCTGAGTATCAAATCCAGGGCCTCACACGTTCCCAGTCCTCTTTAAAATTTTTTTTTATTTTGAGACAGGGTCTCGCTAAGGCCAGCCTCAGACTTGCGATCCTCCTGTCTCAGTCTCCAGAGTCACTGGGATTACAAGCATGAGCACTGTATCCTGCAGGTGTGAATCTTTTAATGAATTTTGGCACCTAGCGGGAGTTGCTCTCTTAAAAAGGACAGGTTAATTTATACACAATGACATGAGCAGTGTGGGTCTGCCTGTCTCACTACGATCTTGTGAGGTAGTAGTATGATGGTGGAGTTGATTTTAAACTAATTTCAGCTAATTTGTGTTTATATTGATAGGCAGCCATTTTCATTTCTCAAACATATAAATGGCATTGTGTACAGAGTACTTTATTGAATGAGATTAATGCCAAAACTCCTGGTCTTGTAGGAAGCTTTAGGAACAAACAGAAGTCTGAAGATAGCTCCTGCCCTCTGCTTCTTTTTCCCCATCTGCTCTCCTGTGCCTCTCCCAGGATCTTCTGCGGGAGAGCTGATCCTCATCACAGCCAGAGTGACCACAGAGAGGACTCCAGGAACCTGTCTATATTTTAGCACTGTTCCAGGAATCCTGCCCTCCAGCCAGCCACCCATATCCTGCTCAGAAGAGGGAGCAGGAAATTCCACCCTGAGTCCTAAGATGGGTGAGGAGTGTGTCAGAGTCTGGAGCCACGAGGGCCTTGTGCTCACCAAGCTGCTCACCTCAGTAAGTGCCTCAGGTCCATCCTCAGGATTTTGTAGAATGGTGGGTTGCTGTGTCTTCGAGGTTCCAGAAGGCAATTTTACCTAATAGAAAAAGTACAGGCTTTATAACCCTGCCTTAGAGGCTGTGTGACTGAGGTAAGTATCTGAACCTCTCTGAGTCTGAGCTTCCCATCTGTAAAACAAAACCATATACTATATCTTCATTCTATCAAACAAGGATTGAATGAGAATGACAGCAAAATGCTCAGCACAGTGCCCCATACATAATAGAGATTTGATAAAGGACAACTATTTACTGTTGTCTTTAATAAGATAAAACATGATCTCTATCTCAGAGGAATTCAGAAGCTGTAATAAGAGGCAGAAGGGGCTAATTGCTATCATTGAAATGTGAGCAGAGTGTTATTCAAATACCAAGCATACAGCAATTTAACTTGAACATTTATGAAGAGCACTTCCCAGGGAAGGTGGCACTTACGAAAGACAATTGTGTATAGTTGTTTATAATATACAAAGTTTATAATGTACAGAATGCTTTCAGGTTCATTATCTCATTTGATCTTAAAGCAGCCTTTTGAGGTAGGTATCATTATCCCATTTTACAGATGAAGAAACAGGTTTAAAGAGAGGGAGTGAATTGCCTAAGGCCACATAACTAGTTAAGTAGCAGAGCCAGGATTGCAATCCATGTGTTGTGTTCCATCAGGACCTTTAAAGAATGAAAGTTTGGCTGGGGGCTCTGTAATCACAACCACTCAGGAGGCTGAGGCAAGAGGATCACAACTTCAAGGCCAGCCTCAGCAACTTAGCAAGCCCTTGTCTCAAAAATAAATAAATAAATAAAAAGGGCTGGGGATGTAGTTCAGTGGTAAAGCAACCCTGAGTTCAATCTCCAGGACCAAAAAAAAAAAAAAAGAAGAATGAAGGTTTGGACAGAGAATTCAGTAGAGTTCCAGAGAGGGAAGATACAGGAGCACAGTGTTCTCAGGGATCAAAAAGTGGTCCGTTTTCTGAGGGGCTCCAAAATGAGGGGCTTAGGTGTCTTAGAAGAGGCAGGAGAGACCACAGTGGCTGATGGGGCTGTGAAAGCCAGGCTGGGATGCTACACCTAGCATCATAAGGGCCAGTAAAGGCTCTGAAGGAGAGAGAAGCCCACCTAGTGCTGGGTAGAAGAGACTAGCTGAGAGATGGAGGGAGACAGTTTAGATGGCTGCAGTACCCTCTGCTGTCACATTTAGAGACCCTGGGTGGAGCAGAACCTGGCACTGCTTGCAGTCTTTCAAATGTAGATAATTGTGAATTTTCCTATCTCTAGGAATCATTTTGAGAGTTAAGGTTGGTGGCTGGGCAAGAAATTAGTTTGTTAACCATCCAAGACAAATGTTAACTTGCATCAAAGTAATGTCTTCCCTCTAACTGCTCCCTCCCTGGGTGCTGAGAGGCCTCCCCCTCATGGGGGCTTCTCTCCACAGCTCTTGGGCTGGGGTCAAGATGTCTTCCAAAGGGACAAGTCCCCACTGTCCCCTCTCCATCATTTCTCCTTCCCACTTTGCTCCCTCCCCTAGGAAGAGCTGGCTCTGTGTGGTTCCAGGCTGCTGGTCTTGGGCTTCTTCCTGCTTCTCCTCTGTGGCCTTCTCTGCTGTGTCACTGCTGTGTGCTTCCACCCGCGCCGGGAGTCCCACTGGTCTAGAACCCGGCTCTGAGGGCACTGGCCTAGTTCCTGCCTTGTTCTCAGGTGAGGTTCTTTACTCTAGTCCTGTGGGAATATGAGAGGGGTGGGGGTGGCAACTGTAACTGGGGTAGAACAGATCCTTGGAATCTATCCATAAATATTGCTCTGAGTCCTCAAGAAGCTCCATCTATCCTCATAGGGAATGGGAATCATTTATACCATAAGCATGCAACATTTTTCTTATTATTTTTACTTTTTTTTTTTAATTACAAAATAGTTAACGTTCCTGTAGAAAAGTCCGAAAACCTCAACAGTACAGCGTGGTAAATTATTATAAAGTAGTTACTCTTAAAATACCTGTATCGGGCTGGGGATGTGGCTCAAGCGGTAGCGCGCTCACCTGGCATGCATGCAGCCCGGGGTTCGATCCTCAGCACCGCATACCAACAAAGATGTTGTGTCTGCCGAGAACTAAAAAATAAAAAAAATAAAAAAATAATAAAAAAAAATACCTGTATCCTAGAAGCCCTTATCCTCTGGTCCCTTCCTTCCTGGTAATGACGTTCTTCTCCCTAGAAGGAAGTACTATTTTGCTTTATAGCTGATCACCAAATATGCATTCCAACTATGCATGAGATTTGGTTTTATTTATTTTTGAAGATGGAATCATACATATTATTTGGTGACTGATTTCTTTCAAGTGACATTCTGATTTTAAGATTTACCCATGGCTGTAGTTCATATCCATGATTTTTGGCAAGAATGGTGAGTTAAGAGGGTTCATCTTTTATGATTCCTCCTGGATATGCATGATGTTTGCCTTGCTTTTGTCCTGAAATTCTTTTTTTTGGTGGGGGGCACTACTGAGGATTGAACTCAGTGGCATTTAACCACTGAGCCACATCCCCAGCCCTATTTTGTATTTTATTTAGAGACAGTATCTCACTGAGCTCCTTAGCACCTTGCTTTTGCTGAGGCTGGCTTTGAGAGGTCCTCCTGCCTCAGCCTCCCAACCTGCTGGGATTATAGGTGTGCTCTACTGTTCCTGGCTTGTCCTAAAATTTTTTTAAAATATTTATTTATTTATTTATATGTGATGCTGAGGATCGAACCCAGTGCCTCATACATGCAAGGCAAGTCTCTACCACCGAGCTACAGCCCCAGCTCCCGTCCTAAAATTTTAATACAAGTTTTGTAAATTTGATTAGAACATCTGAAAAGAATCTAATTAATGATGCCCATTTACTAGGAACACACTGTGTGCCTGAGCATTTTACATGCGCTCTTCCATTTATTCATCATTGCATTTATAAAAAGTTGATTCTACTAACAAGATATTTGGAGGGAATTAGATTTACAAAGATAGCAGGGGGTGGAGGACATATCTGCTAACTAGTTCTCATGTCAACTCATCAAAGGAAAAAAATATTTCTGCAAGAAATCTTCACCCTGTCAGGTCAGTCTCTTAATTTGAGAGCCATATGTTATGCATTCAGCTCTTAAACTGTTCTCAGCTCTAGCTGCTGCTGTGCCCTAGGAAATGACTGTAGGAGGAGTGGAAACAGCCCAGCCAGAGGAACTGGAAGTTCAAGATCAATTTTGCAAATTTTGCTTGGGGCCAACCCTCACTGCCTCAGACACCTACCTGGGACAGGAAATGATGGAGCCTTCTCAGGCTTGGACTGGGAAAGAAGAGCTTTCTGGCCTGTGGCAGATGCTAGGGTCCTGAGGCTGCCCCAGTGGGATTGAGTCTATATCCGTCTCTCTAATTGTCACTCTGTCTGCTCCTTCATCAGTCTGTACTCACCCCACCTAAGGAGTCTCTGACCTGTCCTGTTTTGTTTTCCTTTCTCTACAGGTGTGAATCAACTTCTTGGGCCTTGATTCTGACTCAGAAGAGACCTTACAAAAAGTGAAGAGCTAGAATTTGGGAGAAAATAAAAGGCTTTTTTTTTTTTTTCCTGCCCAGTGTGGCCTAAAGTGTTTATTGGGGATTGGAATTGAGGTAGGAATTTTATAGTAAACAGGCATGGGAGGTTTGGAGGGACTTTTCCCTGTTGACTCTTGAGTTTGGGATACAGGTTCGCATAGAACATATACACAACTCTTTCCAGGTTGTGACTTGGCTTTGGAAAACACCTGATTTTGATCCTAGCTCTGCCATTTTTATGCCTTTCTTCCATGAAATAAAATTGATAATTACAGCTGGTTTTTGGAGGGTCAGATAGTGGAAATGCCATCACATAAACGCACTGCGACTTTGAATAAGTCATGCAATCCTGCAGTGCCTTAGTTTCCTTAAGAAATTCGACCAATAGAATTTACCCAATATTCATATGCAAAGATTCCTCACCCTTGGGGACCCATGTCCAGGCTGGATGCTTACTAACCTCTGGACGGTCCACTTTCCCGCCTTTTCCGCTCCCAGCAGCAGCTTTCCCTTACCCCTCCCAGCTTCTACGCTGCACGCAGGCGCAAATCACGGCCTCTTTCCTTCCACCCGCGCCCCCTCAAAGCTTCCCCTAGCAACAGGCTCAGGCACAGAGCTAAGGCGGGGCAAACGCATGCGCCTCAGCTTTCTCCACCACCAGTCGTCGGACCGCGCGCTGGGCTCCTCCCCCTGCAAGTCTACCCCAGTTACCCGCCTCCTCCCACCCAGGGTCCGCGTGGCGGGGCGCGCGCGCATTCTGGCTGGGTGGCTGCCTGGCTCCCGGGCACCGGCCTTAAGGAAAGAGGGGCGGGGCTGCTTCTTTGGGACCCCGCCCTCCCTGGCCCGGCGTCCCTACCGCGCCTGCGCGCTCCCGCCCGGTCTCCATCTTGGAATTGGGAGGAAGAGGGAGAGGGAGACCGGGACGAGACCGGGGCTGTGGTGCCGAGAGACGGAGAAGAGGAGAGGGAGAGAGGGCGCGGGGACCGTCATCAGCGCCTTAGCTACAGTCTTTCAGTAGTCCTCCGGAGAGAGGAGGGGGGAGGGAGGAGTCCAGGGCGGGAGTGGGGACTGTCACTCTCGGACCCCGGCGTGAGTGGGGCCGTGCTGCCGGACGTCCTAGGGGTGGGCCCCCTGTAGGTGGCCGAAGAACTGGGGCTCAGGCCCTTGGGTCCCAAATTTCCGGGCTTGGCCCCTTGCTTCTCAGATACCCAGGTATCAGTCCTCATATTCCAGGTAGCTTGAACTCGAGTCCCAACCTCTCTAAACCTGGGTCTCTGTTTTATAGAATTTCAAATATCTTGGGGTTCAGGCCCCCGCGTGCACCACTATCCGGGGTTCATTCCCCAGGTGTTCAAATATCGGATTCATTTTATCCCCTTGCAAATATTCGGGGTTCATACCCCACAATCAAATCCGGGATTCAGCAACTGTCGCCCTCGAGTTGGGGGAGGACTGGACCGCGAGGTCAGATCAGGTTGTCACCCCCTCCCCTCCAGGGGAGGCTTCCCGGGTCCGCCCCTCAGGAACGGCGAAAGCTGAGGAAGAGGTGGCAAGGGGAGAGGTCTCCTTGCCCCTCTCCCTGCTTGGCAGAGCCGCTGGAGGACTCCAGGCGGAAGCGGAGGCGCTGGGGCACCATAGTGACCCCTACCAGGTGAGACATGGGGTGCAGGGGCGCGGGTCCCTGTGTCTAGCACTGAAAAGAAAGGGTGATCCTTTCTGAGAAGCTAGGCCTGGATGGGCTCTCTCCTCAGGATGGGGAAGCCTGGCTGGTCAGTGGTCAGCCTCTGCCTAGCCTTGCCTTCTGTTGCCACCCTCTGCCACTTCCTCTTTCCTTCATTGTGCCTGGTTGATGGGGAACCCAGGTGGGTGACAGGGTCTTTGATGTCAGCAGGGGTCACGCCCTAGGGTGATTGAGCTAATCAGATGGGTTTGCAGCCTTCATGTCCTCTCACCCTGTTCACTTTGCCTCTCCCAGCCACCTCTTTTCCTCCATGATTCCCTTTTTCCTGCTCTGGGGTGTTGATTCCTATGCCTCTGAATCCCGTGGTGGGTCTGCTTATCTGCTTTTCAGGCTTGGTCTGGTTGGGTTTCTTGTCCTTGCAAAGAAGTGTGGGTGGGAGGGGGTGCTTGGCAATACTCCCCCAGCTACAGTTACCTTCTTTTCTACCTCTTATTATGATGGTATAATCTCATATATTTGTCAGTGGGTCTATCTTTACAAAGTATTTTTATACCCATTCTCATGTGACACCACCACCATTCACCTTTATTGCTGTCTTCCCGTTTTACAGTTAAGAACATTGAGGCCCAGAGAGGTTGCCCAAGGTCACATAGTGTCAGAATGGGGATTTTTACCCAAGAACTCCATCAAGTGTTGCTCCCCTGATCTATACCTGTTTCTTGCTATCTCTTTTCTTCTGACCTGGGCTTGGCCAGGGATCCATAGGAGAATGAATTGAGGTGAGATTTAAAAATGGGAATGAAATGAGCTTCCTTTGCAGGAGGGCTATACTCAGGAGCTTTGCCTGATTGGAGGCTCTGGCTCCTGCCTCTGCCTTATGGATTTTTGTATATACTGTGACCTTCATCTTTACCCTGATCCCAGTCTTTGGCTTGGATTTTTAAGAAGGCTCTCTGTTCTAATAAATGAGGGCCATAGTGGCTTCTCTTAACAGTTAAAGCCAAATCCCCCAAAGGATTAAAGCCTTGTGGCAACCCTGGGGGCAGAGAAGGAAAAATCCATATGTTGAGTGTCTGCATAGTGTTCCTAAGTATGAGATCTCATTAAAATCTCACAACAGTCCCATGCTGTAATCCATTTAATGTAAGAGAAGACCGAGAAGTATTAGGAACTTATTCAAAGCCCTGTTGCTGTACATTGCAGATGGGATGTGCTAGTGGTACAGCTTAAACACAGGCAGATTTGGTGTTCCTTGTCTGCAGGGCAGAGATAACGTTATTTGTCTTAAAGGGTGGTTGTGATTTAGCACAGATCTTGATGATTGCTCAAATGTTTGTTATTGTGAGGAAGAGGACCTGTGTGATGTTTTGCCAATGGCTGGCACCCCTTTCGTGTGGCCTGGGGTTTTGGATTAGCCGTCTTGGGCTCAGTGCTGGTAAAGAGGTCAGGAAGATTCCCTTGGCAAGTTGTGAGCACCTGCCTTTGCGTGTGGGTGTGCGGTGGGGTGAGAGATGCTTAGCACCATTGCTGGCAGAAGGGAGAAGGGGGCCTGCTTTGAGCAGCCTGGAAGCTGCTGAGGGCTGGGCTGAGGGCAATCAATCAATCTCCCAGGCTATTCTGAGCCCTCGGCACCCTGGGGGCCCACTGGAGAGTCAGGCTCCCTCCTTGCCCTCCAGCTTCCAGTTGGGCTGAGGAGACAAAATTAACAACACAACAGGAAACAATGCACGACAGAATATAATTACATGCTAAAATTGTTGGGTGCTTTTAAGTAACTAAAATTCTGCCCTGGGAGTCCAGCTCTGCTGAAGGCTTCTTTGTGCCTAAATCCTGATAAGTGTTTAGCTAGGAACTTCCCCTAGAAGCCCCTCTAAAGTCCTGGTTCTAATGCCCTCCAGGAACTCTCTTTGGGTGTTTGAGTACTCTGGGAACTTTCCCCAAAAGCTGGTCAGTGGAGGCTTCCTGCAGGAGGGTGGCTGAGCTTGGAGTGGCAAGCTGAGAAAATATTGAGCATGCAGGCTTGATAAGAAGAGAAGGTCCTATTCTCTGACCTTGGAGAATTCTTTTTTCCTCTCTGCCTCAGTGACTTCACCTGGGAAATGGTGATCCTGATCCTGCCCTGCTGGTTTTATAGGGCTGTTCTGAAAGCCTGGTGGTGGTGGTGGTGGTGGTAGACCAACTTTGGGCAAGTCCCTTAACCTTTCTGAGCCTGTTTCCTAATCTGTAAAAAAGGGGTAATGATAATACTTTCCTCATAAGGTTATGGCAAGGATTGAATGAGATGATGTGTGTGAGGTGTTTACTATCCATGCCCAGTAAATGTTTGTACCCAGTAAATGCCTGTACTTGGGTGTGTTGCTCAAGCAGTTGGACTGGATAAGGGGGGCAATCCAGATCCCAGAGAGGCCCTCAAAGCCAGATATCATTTATATTACTGTCTTTCCTGTTCTAGAACTCCTCCTTGCTGCAGTGTCTTCTACCCTTTTTTGAGAGTGAGTCTCCTGGCCCCCATGGGCCAGTCCCCACTTACAACAATGGCCGGATTTCCACCATCTCCGGCTTGGCTGTTTCCTGTTCTTTTTCAGGGTGTGAGAGGTTGAGGGAGGAGGGGGCCGCAACATCAAGGGGAAGAGGAAGGTACATGGAAATCAGTGGGGTTTGGGACTTGGGATAGGACATGTGGGGATCTGGCAGGGAGGCCTGTTTCTCTTTGAGGGAAAATAACAGGTATAGGGAAATGGAAACTTGTTGAGGGCTGAGAGTGGTGGTGAGGATGCTTAGCTTCCCAGAGTCTTCCTACCAGTTTTAGGGACTCCAGGGACCCGGCCCCCGTGATCTGGTTGCCAGGGCAACTTCATTTTTTTTTGGAGCTTTGATGTTCTTCCTAATCTCCCCTTGCCCTTCCTCAGCAGTGCCTCCCCCTCATCAGTGAATGAGGGGAGGAGAAAGCAGAAACTTGAGGGGGCTCCTTCCTCTTCCAGAAGACCCCGTCCTTGCTCTAAGATTCCCATCTCTATTCTCTAGGCCAGGCCCCACTCTCAGGGGCCCCAGGGGCCGCCATGCCAGCTGGGGGCCGGGCCGGGAGCCTGAAGGACCCAGATGTAGCTGAACTCTTCTTCAAGGATGACCCTGAAAAGCTCTTCTCTGACCTCCGGGAAATTGGCCATGGCAGCTTTGGAGCTGTGTACTTTGTGAGTGGGGTTTTGAGAGGGTAAAGCAGGGGAGAGGACTCTATTCTTAACTCTATAGACCTCTAGACAGCCTTCCTACGCCACTCTAACCTTCCCTGCCCTCTTCAACTCAGCCAGCAAGCCTTCTCTGCCTTGTGCTCAGTGGGGGTCTTCACTACTCTCTGGTCTGATTCTCTAGGCCCGGGATGTCCGGAATAGTGAGGTGGTGGCCATCAAGAAGATGTCCTATAGCGGAAAGCAATCAAATGAGGTGAGTCAGGCTCACTAAGACCATCTTGGTTGGGAGGGAACCCCAGTTGCAAGGTGCACACTGGGTGACCCCCTTCTACTCTGGCCTCTTCCTAGAAATGGCAGGACATCATCAAGGAGGTGCGGTTCTTACAGAAGCTCCGGCATCCCAATACCATTCAGTACCGGGGCTGTTACCTGAGGGAGCACACGGCTTGGGTGAGCTGGCTCTTGTACTCTGTCCTAATGTTTATCCCTACTCAGTCTTATCTTGTCCTGGTTCAGTCTAAGTGCACCCTGTTCAAAGATCTTTGGAAGGAGAAAGTCTTTCCTGACTACTGTATTCTTAAGGCCAACCCTTGAGTAGCAGGATTGATCTACAAGGAGAGGTTGGTCCAAGGAATGAAATAGACTGTTAGCAGCCAGAAAAGTGCATATGGGCTTGAGGAGGTAGAGATTGAATGGGGCTTTAAAGGGATCCAGATGGGAGTAGTGGTGAGTGTCTTGGGCTCTTTC